GAACCGAAAGCACTGTATCGAACGGTTCAATATCGATACGAATATCGTTGCACCCCTAATATTTATCTCTTGTTTCCCCAGTTTAGGTTATCGTTTAGCTTTATCTCTGCCTTTTGTTTTGTCCAGTTTTTACCAGCCTTAATAAACGGCTCGCTTTCTGTTAAAATTCAAGTTTTGTCCACGTTCCTTGGTGTCTGTGTTTTGGGTCCTCTTTGCAAATTCATACAGTGTGCTGCCGCATACTGGGACATTATTCTGGTATCTTCTGAAAATAATCAGCAATAAAGCTAAAGTGATTTCACTCCCTGAGTCCAGTATATCTCTGCTCCAGTCCTGGGCACCCAGAACCAGTGCCCAAGTCTTCCACACTGCTGGAGTCCAAGACTCTCCACCATCAATGCTGGCCTCATGCTGGCCTTGGCGGCCACTTCAAGCCAATCTGTGTTATTGGTCATTTGTGAATCTGTTCCGCTGCTGCCCTCACTGCTGGCCCCCTGCAAAGCCACCAGAGGTGAAATGTCGTCTCTGGCATTGTCCTCCAGGGGACTTCCTTTGTTGCCAGCCTCTGGCCATGACACCGGAGCTGGCCACTCAGTCAGCCCCCAGAGCCCTGCTGTCTCTACTGCTGGTCACCGGGGAGACCCCAGAATTCTTTTGTCACAGCTGTTTGCCTTTTGAGAAGCCCTGAGCACTTTATAGGTGTCTGTCCCTGCACCTCTTCAATGGCGTACTAGCCTCATGAACCCGTTTTTATCTCCCTGGACAGCCTGGGACAATTTGTGTGACTTTTTTTTCTGCTTAGTTTGATTTTACTTATGTGTTTGGTTCAGGCCCTCCTTTCAAACCCATTTGCCTGCCCGCTGCAGGTTAGGTTTTGTCTTTGTTTAAGGACGTCTAGAAGCTGTATAGGATAAGGGGGACTCTGTCATGGTTCCTTGGTCATCAACTCAGTGGTTTGTGTTTTGTGGGTTCATGGTCCTGGGTTTTATCTCAGCATTTTGTGTTTAGAGTCTTGTTATGTAAAATTTTGACCTTGGAGTCCTCCTTGTATTCTTGCCTCCCTATGTTGCCATGTCTGTCTTTGTCACTTGTCCGAAGTGTCCTGAGTGAAGTTGGTCTCGTCTCTGTGTCTGTTATTGTTTGTCTCCTCACTTGTGTCCTTATATCCATCTGGTCCCTCAATGCCCTGAAGGTTGTCTTCCCCCCCCAGACAGTCATGTCTCCATGTTTGCTTCCCATTTTGTCTATGTCAAGTTCATGTATTATAGTCTCCATCACTATTTCCTGTTTTATTGTGATAGTCTCTTGTTCTGTGTGCATCATGGTTAGTTTTGAGTCCTCTTG